CTCTCTCTCTCTCTCTCTCTCTCTCTCTCTCTTCTCTCAGCGTTTCTCGTGTAAAAATATTATGAAGAGAAAAATGTATTAAAAAAGTGCAACTCCAGGGTTACATCTGATTGATTGCATGAATCCCTGCCATCAATATATTGGTTAGAAATGATAAGTCGTTATGTTTATTGTAATTGTATCGTTAAATCTTTGCACAAATTATCATTACGTTATATAAACAACAGTTTATTTCGTATCTCATAATACTTTTAATGAAAAATAATTATATTTTATCTTTAATAAAAAATAAAATCAAAACAATTATGAATTGAAATAAAACAAAAAACATGTTTCACATCACAAATATAGTTAATGTCATAAATAATTGAATGCAAAGTTCACTATAATTATAGTGTACTGTAAATAAATGTCTTGTTTTATATTTAATTGATATGAATATTGAGAACGTCTGAAAGCATATGAGGTTTAAGCCAATTGACTAAAGGGGTCACTCCGGAGGTGTAATGACACCTCTTGTGGTAGAAGAGAAGGCCATCGACTGGACTCGAGAACTGTTTGGGTGCCCGAAGAGTGGACACTATCTCCGATTCACTGCAACCGTAGTGTTTGAGTGCAACGAACGGGTATGGATTCAATGGCGTTCTGTCTATCACTTCCGGACATTCGCTCTCCAGTTTAGAGTTAAGCCAAAAGAATCTGAAATCTGTATCACATTCGCCAAAATGGCATCCATTCCAAGACATCACATCCAATACATAATACACTCTTTCACTCTCACTGTAAATACAATCGAGAATACAGTTGTGTTTCGAGTCTTTAGCTATCTTTCTGTTTCCTCCGGGAAGTTGTGTGGGAAAGGTTGCCATCAAATACCCGGTCCGGGAATAAGCCCTCGTCTGACCTTTCGATGACAATACGAGACACCGTTTGCCGATCGGACACAACACCAGAAACCAGTTTGTGGTCAGATCTTCAGGTATTTGGACCAACCATTCGGAAAGCATTAATTGATTCTTATATTTATTTACATAAAATCTCTTCAATTTTGAGTCCAATTTGCGGCCATTTCTTGTGTCCATTGGTTCGCAAGCATTGTCTTCAACAGGCATTTCATCCAAAAGACACCGCAATCTCATTACTATTTGTTCCCGATTTCTGTCAAAACAAACAAATCAATTAATATCTCATTTAATAATCAATAAATCATTACTTCTTCTGATTGTCGATGAATTCCTTGCGACGGATCTCTTGAAGACATTCTTTGCTTTTGGCGGTGTCTTTGAAGTGATTGTACTTCGGGTGACATCTGTTCGTGTCGTTCGCCTCTTTGGTTAAGAGGAAGGACTCACTAAACGACTCGACAATATCGTCGTAAGACATGTTGGGATCAGTTTAGCGATGTATTCATTGGCCGTAAATGTCTTCAAATGGTTAACACATTTGCGAAGAAGTGATGATTTCGGTCGACAAACAAAACAAACGATTCAAACCAATAGTCACTAAATATTACCATAAATTACGTCCGAATATAACAGAAATTATGGCAAGAAATGCATTGAAATGTAATGACAGTCACAGACAGGGATCCACTTATTAAACGTATTAATGGTTGGGTTTTATTTAAATAGTGTTCAAGTATTTGATTACAGTAGCTGTGAGAACACAGTCTTAAACTTCTTTTAAGTGAATGTTTGGTTCAAAATCTGTTTGTTTTATTGCTTTTCACAGAAATTGTTAACAAAAACTTAAATTAAATATTTATTTCAAACTTAAGTTGAATTTTCTTGAAAAAAGGCGTCAAAGAGAAGGACGGTGTCTTTGAAGTGATTGTACTTCGGGTGACATCTGTTCGTGTCGTTCGCCTCTTTGGTTAAGAGGAAGGACTCACTAAACGACTCGACAATATCGTCGTAAGACATGTTGGGATCAGTTTAGCGGTGTATTCATTGGCCGTAAATGTCTTCTAATGGTTAACACATTTGCGAAGAAGTGATGATTTCGGTCGACAAACAAAACAAAACGATTTAAACCAATAGTCAGTAAATATTACCATAAATTACGTCCGAATATAACAGAAATTATGGCAATAAATGCATTGAAATGTAATGACAGTCAAAGACAGGGATCCACTTATTGGACGGACTAATGGTTGGGTTGTAAATAGTGTTCAGGTATTTGATTATTAATAGCTGTGAGAACACAATCTTAAACTTCTTTTGTCACTTACAAACCAAGTTTTAGACAAACAAAATAACGAAAAGTGTCTTTAACAATTGTTTTTGAATTTAATTTATAAATAAAGTTTGAATTCAACTTAAAAGAACTTTTTTCCGCAGTTTCTCTTCCACATAATAAATACAAAATACTCAAGTTTATATTTAATGTTTGAAATTCGCTAAGGACTCTGTTCGTTAAGAGTGTTAAACAAATTTAATTAATGTAAATTAGTAATCTACTCTGAAATTATCATCCGAGCTGCCCCTAATAAGACAAAACACAATTCAATAGTCAGTTCTTAATAAGCAATTAATTAGAGTATATTACCAATGGATTTGGTCTAAACCTATAGGCCATCATCATTCGTTTACGGTAACTATACATATAGATCATTGCATTCAATTATTTTTAAGTTATGATAATTAAATTGCGAAGACATACGCTTCGTATTCATCGTCTCTATCACTGAGTTCTTCGGGACGTGTTTGACCTAAACCTGCGTTATTCACACCAACAGGACCTCTGGTGTCACAAAACATATACCAAATAAATATAAGTTAATGAACTGACTTAGAAACGCAAACCATATGTTTGCAGAACCAACTTGTTAATGGGTTCGGCAGTGCCGGTGCCCTCCGCGCCGAGTCCCTGGCCTTCACTCCATCCCAACTTTTTAAGCATTTGAAAGCCGACGTTATCTTCAGTGAGCTTCGAATCGCTGTAATCAGACTCCGGGGCGAGAGATGTGCCGCCCTTTAGTGACTCCCATTTCTTCATAAACTTGTCGAGTTCTTCGGGAGGCATGAAGTCTCCGATGTGATGCTTTCCGCTCGCATTTTCGGTCAATACATTGGCGATTCCGTGCGTTTGTTGCATCTCTTGCCGCCGGCGCTTGTGTTCCCACGTGCCGTCCTCCACGTCTTCGTCCGAATCGTATTCATACTTTACTTTTCCACTCTTTGCCAGCATTTGGTTCGTCCTTTGCTTCTTCTGAAGCATTTCAAACAGTAATTTCATTTTTCTTTGATCTTCGAGTTGTTTCCATTGGTCTGCAGTCAGTTCTGTGGTTCCAAACACTTGGATCGCGTACTCAACTAATTTGGGATCCGATGGCATTGTCGCCACTTTCTCGTCACTCCAACGAGACTTTCTCTGTCTCTTAACAGGTTTGCTCGAAGAGGAAGATTCTGCGCCTG